AGTAAATGTCTGCTGAAAGGGAGAGGAAGGAATACTGACAATGGCTGGGCCACAAGGGCCTAAGGATGACAACACAGCTCCTGGAATTTACAACTGTTGTCAAGGGCTCCATTACTCTGAGCTGCAAGTTAATGTGACTGGATCAGAGCAGATTAAAAATAGAAAAGTATACAGATTTTTTTATGCAGGTTAGGCAGGATAGAGAGGAGGATGGGGGAGGGAATTGTTTTAAAAATAGATATTGTTGGGGTTTCCTTCTTTCTTAAGTATGATTTCTCAACTTGCATAATGTAAAATATAAAAAGTAAAAGCATCTCTAAAAAAAAAAATCAAAAAGCTTCAAACAAACCTGGTGTGCTTGGGAAACATGCCACAGAGACAATTTTATATTAATTATGTTTTTAATGTTCCTTTTTTTAAACTGGTGTTTTTTAATTATATAATAGTGCATGTAAAATCTTTATTTTGTAGGCAAACATTTGCCACAATGTGCACTTGTGATATGTGTTTGAAGAGTATTATTCTTTATCCAAAGAGAGTACATAAGAAGCTTTTTATTTTCAGAATTGTATCTCTCAGATTGAAAGGCTGTATCAAGCCATACAGAGCAGAAAGGGAGAGGGAGGAAATATACTGAGCCAATTACACTTGGAAGATGGTCCACTTGGAGTCTATAAGAAGCTACTGTGCAGTCTTGGCCAGTGCAAAGATCTTCTGTTTGGAATGTAAAGCAAACATTGGAGGTAATTGCAACCAAATCAAGGGCATCTTGGAAGGGAGAAGATCGGGTAGGAGAGGAAAGCATTATTTAAATGTTTAAAAAGAAGCCTGCAGCTGTCCCTTCTGGCCAGAAATGGTAAATATTAAATATTTAAAAGCATTCTTTTTTAATTGACTGAAAAGTGTATTATTATTATCATTTATCATCTTATTTGTGAACATGTTGATAAAAATCTATAAGACACTAGATTTTGCTTTCATGAACTTGTTAAAATATCAGCCTGACCCATTGTTTCACATATTGTACAAATGTGCAACATCAGAGAAGAAATACATGTGTTCCTAATAAATTATAGTATTTTTTTTCCTGATCCTATAATTTACTGTAATTTATTGATGTGACCTTGATACACAAAGCTAATACCCAGTGTTAGAGACAATCATATATATTTATTATCTACTATTTTTCATGCTCTGTTGTATCTTTTCTCTTCTGAAGTCTAGATGTCTACTTTCCAATTCAGTTTCTCAACTTGTTTCACTGAAATGATTTTCTTATCCAGTAAATTGGAACATCTAATCAAGCTCTTAACAACACATTTTGAAACCACAAGAGACATTCTCAGGCTTCTGTTTTCTTGTAACTTTCTTGTGATCTTGCTGGAGAAAAGCCTTTCCTTTGAAGATGGCACAAATCTTCTTGTGAAGGCTGTCCAGTTTCTTGCAAGTTAGGTAAGAGGATAATAATATGGGTTCATCTGCCAAAAGAAATGAGCACTCAGTTAACTTCCTAATTGTAAAATCTTAACATAGCATTAAGAATCACTTGGTAAATGTATCTGCTTGGTTTGTTTTTAAAAAGCACCATTTGAAAAATACTTAATATGTGGTTGTTCTGGCCAGTATCTCATGCTCTTGTTATTAATGTTGTGCATGAATAGATTAAATAAATTACATAATGAAAATGATATCTACAAAATTGTCACTTTCCACCTTTCATAATGTTTTCTGTAGAATGCAAATTACTACTGACTTTCACCTAATAATGATCCAAAACAAGCAATTATGAATTAAATCAACACTGATAAAGAATTTCTGTAAAAAAAAATGTAAGCATAATTGCCAACTTGAATGGAAAAAACTTGAAGGTTTCCTGATACAGGGATGTAATTTTGCTTGCCACCTGTAGCGGCAACTTGTGTTTTGCCACCAGCCTGGTGGAACCTTTTGCAGGACCTAAATGGGATGAGAAAGAGAGACACTTTATATGTCAATTTCTAAAACATCAATTCCAAAGCAATTACCATTCATTTTGGTCCAAGCAACTAACATTCGTTTTCTCCAAGTGAATTAAATATTGCACTTTGTGTGCAGCTTCTTTTCCTTTCAGGACAGTTTTTCTAAGGAAATAATTCAGCTTCTTTAATGATAGTAAAAAGCAGCAGCAAGCTCCCTGCTAAAGATTGTCCTGATGCTTTGTGGTTGATTTAGTAAATGCAAAAAGTGTGCTTGCTTTGTAATGCAATTTTTATTTGCAAGGGAATTTTCCTTTAGCTTAGTGAATAAAGTAAGGCTCTGCTGACTTCCATCATTCAATCATGTGCAAGCAAAAATACTGTTTTATTCACTCATGTGAATATTAAGGATGAGCTAAGGTTATTCCAACAGGAAACTGTCACATGATAACAGAACATTGGCCTGGAATTTTCCATCCCACAGCCACATAAAACATATAACACATAACATATAACAAGGTAGGATTGCTCGTAACATCATTGATCTAATATGGAAGCATGGCCATGTTGCCATAGTAGGCATGAAACTTCACGTTTGCAGCTAATTGGTCCAATGGCCTGCTATCATGTGATAGTTTCCTGCAAGTTCGAACTTGAGCTCTTCCCTAATGATTGGGCATTGTTTGCAAGTTGAATTTTCACCACATTCACTATGTTGGAGGGATAATCCCCTTGCAATGTGAGCAGTCTATTTGCCCTAGTCCTAATTGCATAACTGTGTGTATTTAACTCAACCGCATATTTGCAGTAGGGAATATCAAAATCAAATGTTATGGCTTATATATTATACTAAATATTTCAAAATGGTTAGTATTTGTTAGCCATTACCCTATTGTAAAGTTTTTTTTAAGCTTCCAATTCTTCTTGTGATGGTGACATAACAATACATTATTAAAAGTAACCAAACACTTGCCATCCAGGCATTGTACATAAACAGCTGCATGGTTGCTTTTGGAGATAGGGAGGCTGTTTTAAAATGGCCTCCCCTTTGCAGTGTTTGCAATGTGCAAAAGTATATGTTTTTATTTTCCAAAAACTTGTGGCAAAATATATGATCTTGAAAAGATTCACCGTGCCTTTTAGTAAAAATGTCTGAAGTTCTGAAAAATGTGGTCATTTGGTGAGTGTTTATCCTGTCCTGGCTCTTCAGGGCCTCAACAAATGTGGTATGTAGTCAAGAAATCAAATGCAAAATTTAAACCCTTTAAAAGCCAGAAGGTGCTCCTAGGATTTTGGTCCCCTCTATGCATCTAGCCAGTGAAAAAGTCCCACAAAGTCTCTCTGTAAGTATGCCTATGCTTGATGTGAGAAATAACTTGTCAAAATGAAAATTAAAAAAAAAAAATTTATTTCTTCCACAAAATTGTGGCAAAAAATTACAACTTCAAAAAACTCACCATGCCACTTACTACATACTTTGTAGAGCATAATTTCCAAGATAGGGAAACTTTTGTGTGTATTTGTACTGTACTGGTATTTTAGGGCCTTATGAAATGAGGCAGTCAGAACATGCCACCAGAAACAGAATACAAAGTAAGGTTGTCCAAGAAATCAGACAGGGAGCTGTTCAGCATCTCTGGTGGCAGAGGTCCCAAGTTCAGATCCAGACACCCAGTTCCCAGAGCTGTCGGTGACAGCTTGGTTGAGGTGTCCTAGAAGCATGCTATGGAGCACACTTCAAGAACAAATGCTAAGCACATATACTGCATTTGGTGCCTTAAGAAACATACCCATAATCTTATGTGTGAGCTTGGTGTAAATGGAGTAAGTGCAGGTCTTCAAGTGGTTAAGGAGCAATAAAGGGGGTTGATTTATTAAATGCAAATAGGAAAAAGAAGAGCAGAATCACTATAGTGTAAAATCTCACTTTTAAGAAAATTTATATAAAAAATGACTCATATGTAGTCTTTAACACAGTGCATCAAGAAAATCAGCATGCATCAGTCCTGGATATTACATTATAAGGATCCGCTCTAGGCATTACATCACTTCTGACTTTCTCAAGGTTTTTTACATCTACGATTTTGGGTTATACATAGTTTTGCTCTTCTTTTCTTTGCAAGTTTTTGAATGAATATGTCCTGGAGTTAACGTTCAGCACTGAGTATGAGCCCTAAGCCTATGTGACTCATCTGAAGTACCTTAGTATAGGTCATTGTGAAAAGGTGAGTGGTGTCCAGTGGGAAATGGCAGTACATCGAAAGTGTTTTGTGTGCTCTTCACATTCATGATATGGAGAGAAATCAAGAGTGGACAATGTGGCTATTGATAAAGTATGTCAATCATTATATTGAAACATTATGTATAGATATTCTTGGACACTATAAGGACACTTTTGTTTTAACCACTAGCCTACAGGACACTTATACCCCCTTCCTGCCCAGGCCAATTTCCAGCTTTCAGCGCTGTCACACTTTGAATGACAATTGTGCGGTCATGCAACACTGTACCCATATGACATTTTTATCATTTTTTTGTGACAGATAGAGTTTTATTTTGGTGGTATTTAATCACCTCTGGGTTTTTAATTTTTTTTTTAAACAAACCAAAAACCACAGAAAATTTTGAAAAAAAGTTTTTTCTTACTTTTTGTTATACAATTTTGTAAATAAGTGATTTTTCTCCTTCACTGATGTGCGCTAACGAGGCTGTAGTGATGGGCACTGATAGGCTGCACTGATGGACGCTCATAGGTGGCACTGATGGGCACTGATGAGGAGGCACTGGTAGGTGGCACTGATGGGCATTGACAGGCATCACTGATGGGCACTGAAAGGCAGCACTCATATATGGCACTGATAGGCAGCACTGATAGGCGGCACTAGCTGGCACTGATAGGCGGCACTGACTGGCACTGTTAGGTGGCACTGACTGGCACTGTTAGGCGGCACTGATAGGCAGCACTGACGGGCACTGATAGGCAGCAGCACTGATGCACACTGATAGGCGGCACTGACTGGCACTGATAGGTGGCACTGACTGGCACTGATAGGCGGCACTGATTGGCAGCACTGACTGGCATTGATAGGTGGCACTGATGGGTGACACTGAAAGGCAGCTCAGATGGGCACTGATATGTGGTATTGATGTGCACTGGTAGTCACTGGAATGTGGCACTGATGGGCACTGGCAGGTAGCATGGATGAGCACTGACAGCTGGCACTGATGGACACTGACAGGTGGCACTGCTGGGGCTACACAGATCATCAGGGCACACTGATCATCAGTGCTATGATGATCTGTGTACATGTCCCCTCCGAGGAATGCCGATTACCGGCTCTCCTCTCCTCACGAGCTGTCACACTGATAACCGGCATTTCCCTGTTTACATGTGATCAGCTGTGATTTGACACAGCTGATCACATGACCGAGCTGACATCTTCGGCTCTTTCCGTTGATCTGTTATCCGCTGTGTCCGAGGGACACAACGCACTGTTGGTCGCCGCGTTGCGCGCTCCCGGAGCACCTAATGCGCAGTTAGAATGGGAGGACGTCATATGACGTCCTCCCAGAACGAGAGAACCGCCTTGCGCCCATCATTGTACTATATGGTGGGTGGGAGGTGCTTAATGGACAATTTGGGGTTGATTTACTAAAACTGGACAGTGTAAAATCTGGTTCAGTTGTGCATGATAGCCAATCAGCTTCTAACGTTAGCTTGATCAATTAAGCTTTGAAAAAAACCTGGAAGCTAATTTGTTTCTATGCAGAGCTACACTAGAATATACACGTTTCAGTAAATCAACAACATTGAATATTTTTTAAAATGGGTATACAGGTGAAACTCGAAAAATTTGAATATCGTGCAAAAGTTCATTTATTTCAGTAATGCAACTTAAAAGGTGAAACTAATATATGAAATAGACTCATTACATGCAAAGCAAGATAGTTCAAGCCGTGATTTGTCATAATTGTGATGATTATGGCTTACAGCTCAAGAAAACCCCAAATCCACAATCTCAGAAAATTAGAATATTACATGCAATCAATAAAACAAGGATTGTACATAGAACAATATCGGACCTCTGAAAAGTATAAGCATGCATATGTACTCAGTACTTGGCTTGGGCCCCTTTTGCAGCAATTACTGCCTCACTGCGGCGTGGCATGGAAGCTATCAGCCTGCGGCACTGCTGAGGTATTATGGAAGACCAGGATGCTTCAATAGCGGCCTTCAGCTCTTCTGCGTTGTTCGGTCTCATGTCTCTCATCTTTCTCTTGGCAATGCCCCATAGATTCTCTATGGGGTTCAGGTCAGGCGAGTTTGCTGGCCAATCGAGCACAGTAATCCCATGGTCATTGACCAGGTTTTGGTGCTTTTGGCAGTGTGGGCAGGTGCCAAGTCCTGCTGGAAAATGAAGTCAGCATCCCCATAAAGCTCGTCTGCGGAAGGAAGCATGAAGTGCTCCAAAATCTCCTGGTAGACGGCTGCGTTGACCCTGGACTTAATGAAGCACAGTGGACCAACACCAGCAGATGACATGGCTCCCCAAATCAACACAGACCGTGGAAACTTCACAGTGGACTTCAAGCATCTTGCAGTGTGTGCCTCTCCATTCTTCCTCCATACTCTGGGTCCTTGGTTTCCAAATGACATGCAAAAGTTGCTCTCATCAGAAAAGAGGACTTTGGACCACTGAGCAACAGACCAGATCTGTTTTTCTTTAGTCCAGGTAAGACGCTTCTGGCGTTGTTTGTTGTTCAAGAGCGGCTTGACAAGAGGAATATGACATTTGAAGCCCATATCCAGGATCCATCTGTGTGTGGTGGCTCTTGATGCACTGACTCCAGCCTCAGTCCACTCCTTGTGAAAGTCCCCAACACTTTTGAATGGCCTTTTCCTGACAATCCTCTCCAGGCTGCGGTCATCCCTGCTGCTTGTGCACCTTTTTCTTCCACACTTTTCCCTTCCACATAACTATCTATTAATGTGCTTTGATACAGCACTTTGGGAACATCCAACTTCTTTTGCAATTACCTTTTGAGGTTTTCTTTCCTTATGGAGGGTGTCAATGATGCTTTTCTGCACAACTGTCAGGTCAGCAGTCTTTCCCATGATTGTGATTCCTACTGAACCAGACTGAGAGACCATTTAACCCTTTGCAGGTGTTATGGCTTAATTAGCTGATTAGAGTGAGACACTTTGAGCCTAGAATATTGCACCTTTTCACAATATTTTAGTTTTCTGAGATTGTGGATTTGGGGTTTTCATGAGCTGTAAGCCATAATCATCACAATTATGACAAATCACAGCTTGAACTATCTTGCTTTGCGTGTAATGAGTCTATCTCATATATTAGTTTCACCTTTTAAGTTGCATTACTGAAATAAATGAATTTTTGCACGATATTCTAATTTTTCGAGTTTCACCTGTATATAGTTTGTTTCTATATATGGATATATTATGATCTGGCACAGTTATATAAGATAAATTTACCTTTTTTTGCACTGCACGTGGATAAGGAAAACATAAATAAAATAAAAATACTGTTTTGTTTTTTTTTTCTTGCACATGATTGGTTATGCTTTGCAAAGTTAACTTTTACCACATTCTCTAGGGTCTGAGGAATATTCCCTGACAATGTGGAACTTCCCTTGCAAAATAAACAAATAATTATTTGCCTTTAGTAAATCAACTCCAATGTGTATTAGTCTGTACAGTACTTCTGGATCTATATTAGTACAGACCCAGGGTGGTTGATGAAATCCAGAAGTTAGCTGGGGCCTTCCACAATAATTCAGGTAGCTGTGCCTTACACTTCTTTTCACCTATAATATTCAGATGTTTTTATCTAGGTAAAGTCCTGTATTTTTGTGTTGCATCGTTTTAATATGTAATAGCAGGCTCAATAGCATTTATATATACATATAAAAAGTAGGTGCTTGTCACAGCTGCTTCCCCCGTCAAGGTGACCTCCCCCCCCCGCTCTCTCTCGTCCTGCTGCGGCGTGGCCCCTCTCATCTCTGCCACTATCTTGCCCCCATCCGGCGAGGCCGGAGGAGGTGGGATAGTGAGGTTCACACCTCTCTGCAGAGAGGTGCGAGCCTCCTGTAGAGATGAGAGGGATCACGGTGACAGGCTGACGCCGCACGATCCCTGTCATCCGTAGCGTGGGCACGGGAAGTTCCCGCGTTTTTGCGGATGTCCCTGGACAAAGGTCGCGCTCACGAGAAGCGTGGCCCGTGTTTAGGGGGCGTGCTTCATTGCTGAGCGATGAGGCCCGCTGCCCCTGGCCCGCCCCCAGTTGCCAGGACGACTGGAGAGCATCCTGCATCAGCTTAAGAGGCTGATTCCGGGCTCTCAGATCATCCATTCTGCTGTGCAGTCACGTAGGGAGTCCAGCTGCGGCGGGACCCTCGTGACCAGACTCTGCCTGAGACCCCCAAGTCTAGAGGGAGATCGCCCACACCTCTCTGAGACCCCAAGCTAAGGGGAGATTACCTGCTACCTGCCTGAGACCCCCAACCCTAGGGGGAGATCGCCTGCCAGCCTGCCGGAGACCCCCAGCCCAGGGGTAGATTGCCTGCAAGCCTTGCTTGAGACCCTAGCATAGGGGGGATATAGCCTGCCTGCTGCCTGAGACCCCAGTCTAAAGGGGGGAGACCGCACAAGCCAGCCTGTCTGAGACCCCCAGCCCAAAGGGAGAGACCCCTCGCCTGTCCTGGACCTCCAACAGGTACCTGTTTCTTACTTTCTTTTTCCTGGGAGACCGGACACCCTGTTGGATCCGTGGGCATATGCTTTCCCCTGTTTTACCTGAAATGTCCCTGTGATGATCCCCTAACCCCCCTGTTGGATAGCAATCTGCTACAGAGACTTTTTCTTTGCTCTCTATAATGAACTACAAGTGTTTTAGCCCCTCCTTGCTGTCCCCCTACTGGTGAGATCACCCTCCCTGCCATTTCCCTATTGAGTGACTGTCATTTTGTTGCCTCAATAAAGCTTTGTGCGTTTGCCCTCTGCTCTGTGTGTTCTGTCCTGCCTACCCTCTGTCACAGTGCTGATTTAGATTGTGCTGATATACTCAGTACATTTCTGTATTCTTGTGAAGCTATCTCTCGTGTGTCTGAATTCAAAATGCCAGGTCATATACAGTACTTGTAGATGTGGAACCTGCGGAGCCTTTCTATTTGGACATAATGTATATTAACACAGACCAGATGATAATACTGTAAGGTAATTAATGTATTAATGTTATTATGATTCATAATGGTCTCTTCTAAAATGCTATTATACTGTAAATTATTTTACACAGCCTGTTTTTTTTATTTAAAGGCTACATTCACATTTTGCAATAATCAATGCATGTTTTTGCAGGTAAAAAAAATTTGAATTTCTTTTTGTTTTTTTTTCTAAGGAGCCTGAGGAGCATTGCACCCACAATAAGCAGATCACAGATGCAATTCTCAGACTCCTGCAGACTCTCAGAATAGCTGTCTTGCCCATACCTTGTACAGGCAGGGAGTTACTTGAGTGCAGGAAAATCAATGGACTGCGAAAGCACTCATCAGCACTCTCATAGTTCATTGAGAACCTCAAGCCGTCAGCTGCAATGGATGACTGTACTTGTAGTCTATCAATTCCCAGGAAATTGTGAATGACAGCTGTGTGGGCAGAGCCCTGCACTGCCACACTGTTTTCAAAAGTGACAGCAGGTATGGGAAGAGGATCGAGGTGAAAGGATGCAGATGCTGGCACATGTTACATGTTTCAAACTAAAAACAAGGGGAACATGTAACATGTTTCAAAGGTGAACTTAGGTTTTAATTCCATCCTAACAGTGTTTTGCAGTAGAGAATGGATAGCAAACCCATTGTTTTTCATTAAATAAGTATAATTACGTAAAGTGGAAAGAAAATGTCTACAAACCCCTGTCAAAATACCAGGATTTTGAGATGTAAAAAATCAGACCATGAAATCACTTAAATTTTTTTTCCACCTTTAATGTGACCTATAACATGTGAAATTCAAAACAAACTAAAATCTTTAACCACTTGCCAACTGCGCTATAGCCAAATGATGGCTACAGTGTGGTTGTCCAGATCTGGGAGGGCGTCACATGCCGTGTACATTCTCTAGTCTCAAAGAAACAAATAAGCAAGCATTCTGCTTAATTCATGTAATGGGCTATAAAATGTGTTATTATAATTAGTTAAAAATCAAAAAATATTAGAATCCAAGATTTTATCTAAAGTGAATTTCACTTATGACAAAAAAATACAATCCCCTGCAGATGAATTATATGCAAGACTTTAACAAATATTTGAACAGTGTTGTGAAGTTAAAAAACAAAAAAAGAAAGCGCCAAACAATAATATCAATCCTATTAGGCAGCAAACCTCTGACCCAAATAATGGTGTAAAATCAAAAATCGGAATGCGCTAAATTATATCAAAATTACATATGTTGTGTTAAAACCAAACC